CCCCTCTTTCCGATCACCTCCGGCGCGACGTACGCCGGCGTGCCGCAGGTGGTGTGGAGGAGGCCGTCCTGCCGGAGGTGGTCGGAGAAGGCACTAAGGCCGAAGTCAGTGACCTTGAGGCGGCCGTCCTCGTCGAGGAGGAGGTTCTCCGGCTTCAGATCCCGGTGGTAGACGCCGCGGCTGTGGCAGAAGTCGACGGCGGAGAGCAGCTGCTGGAAATAGCCCCGGGCGGCATCCTCCCGGAGGCGGCCGCGGGCGACGCGGGCGAAGAGCTCGCCGCCGCGGACGTACTCCATGGCGATGTAGATCCGGGACTTGCTGGCCAGGACCTCGTGGAGGCCGACGATGTTTGGGTGGCTCTGCATCATCCGCATCACCGAGATCTCGCGCGTAACCTGCTCCATCATCCCCACGCGGATCACCTTCTCCTTCCCCACTACCTTCATGGCCACGCTCCGGCCAGTCTGCAGGTTCCGCGCGTGGTACACCTTCGCGAAACTGCCGTGGCCGAGGAGGCGGCCCAGCTCGTACTTCCCGTTCAGAGCACCGCACTTTTCGTCGGCAGCCGCCATGGAAGAAGCTCGGCAAGGTTAGGTTCCCTTCTCTCTGTGCCTGTGTTTGTGAGTAATTTTAAAATTTGAAGCTATGAACAGATGGTTATGGGGTTTGTGGCCTTTTTACGGTGGTGGTGGTGGCGATTTCACCCGTCCTCGACGTGTTTCCGGTGGCAATTACGGCCACTGGTGAGCGGTTTCTTGGCTAATTGGGGGTTACAAACCGGAGCTCTTTTCATCTCTATGCATTCCCCAATGCACCACTATTTTTTTTTTTTTTCAGAGATAAAAATGTTATTTGGAGAGAGAAAATGAAACAATTTATCGGAAAGGAGGAGTTTCAATTATGTATACCTCGTTGGGAAAGGGGTGAATTTATAGGCAGTTCCAAGGGTATATATGTAACTTACTATTTTCCTGCAATTTTAATCCGACGGTTGGAAGGCGTGGGTGCTGCACTCGTGTCGAGATCCTGGGTGGGTGATGTCACAGATCATTTGTCGTATGTGAATAATTTGCACATGTGGGGTTACTCGTTAGACAAACCGCCAACCGCATTATAAATAATACCGTGGGGCGATTCTTCCGAGAAACAAGTTGCAATGATAATAAGTACTAAGATAAGTTCTATAAATTTAAATGATTTTTTTATTCATTATCTTTTATTCTGAACGGCTGATTGATAATGGCAACTCGCAAGTTTATGAAAGGAAAACAATTATTTCGCAATCAACTTTATATAATTCTTGTTATTCTATATTTTGTTTTAGTCAATTATGATAATTCAATTTTTTAGTCCATTAATCACTTCATAAAGATGAACTAGTGGTACCAGGAAAAAGAAAATGCCAGTATCTTTAGTTATTTACGTATGAACTATGAAGATGAACAATATTTTTTTATTTGACATGTTATTTATTTAACTTGTTCATTTTCCAAACATTAGGTCAATTATCAAAATATTTATATTTTCTTTCTCATATAAAGCTTTCATCTTAACATAATAATTCGATTGAGCAAATAATTGAACTCCACTCCATGAAATCTAAGCAAATTATGTAGGATTTGATTATCCATCAACTTAAATACACCAAGATTAACCATGATGAATTTGGGAAAATTCATG